GCGTAATTTATCACGTAATGAGATCTCACTTGCTAGCTTGTCTTTGCATGTATTTCGCATAATTTATTGCATAAGTAATTCGCACTTGTTCACTTAACTTCGCTTGTCTGGTGCATGTTTTATTGCATTATTTGTTTTGTCCTTGCCCAATGAACTTCACATGTCTGTAGCATAATTTATCGCTTAAGTAATTTGCACTTTCTCAATGAGCTTTGCCTATTTGTTGCATACTTTATCGCATGATTTGTTTTGCACTTATTATGATCTTCGCATGTCTCTCACATACTTGATTGCATAAGTAATTACTTGAATTAACTTCGCCTGTATGTTGCATGCTTTATTGCATAATTTATTTCGCAAAAGTTATTTCGCATTTTACTCAATGAACTTCGCACTTTACTTAATGAACTTCGCTTGTGTGTCGCATGTCATATCAATATATATTTTGCACTTTATAAATTATATTTGCTTTTCTGTCGCATAGTTTATCACCTAATATTTTTGCACTTTATCAAATCTTCGGAATTGATGCATAGATTATCGCATAATATTATCGAATTTATCAGTTATAATCGCTTGTTTGTCGCATAGGTTATCGCATAACTATTTCACTTTTTTATCAATTATCTTCGCATGTCTGTCGTATAGCATTTTGCATAAATTATCTTGGCGTATTTGTCGCATAACTATATCACACTTTATCGATTATTTTCGTCTGTCTGTCGCATATTTTTTTCGCATAATATTTTTCCACTTTATCAATTATCTTCGTCCGTTTGTCGCATAGCTTTTTGCATCAATTATATTTGCCTATATTTCACATATTTTATCGCATAATTATTTCGCATTTTATCAGTTATATTCTCTTTTTTGTCGCATAATTTATCTTTCGCACTTTATCAATTACGTTTGTTTGTCTATCGCATACTTGATCGCATAACTATTCCGCACTTTATCAATTATTTTCGATATGTCGCATAGTTTATTGTCTATTTGTTTATTTCTGATATGTCGCATAGTTTATTATCAGTTATATTCATATATTTATGGCATAGTTGATTGCATAATTATTTCGCACTTTATCAATCAATTTATCATCTTCGTCTATAATTCGCATAACTTATCGTATAATTGTTTCTTATTTTATCAATTATCTTCGTCTGTCTTGTCGCATAGCTTATCGTGTAATCTATTTCACACTTTGTGGAGTAAAAAAGTTAACTTATTAGTTAGTGGTGTGTATGAGGAGTAAAAATATATTTTTTTCCTATGCATATACAACAATCATGTAACTACAATCATCTATCAAATAACAAATATTGTGAGAAAATAATTACATGTTAACAAATATTGTGAGAAAATAATTACATGTTCGCTGTCGCTGCCAATGACAGCATCAAATAATAATTTCGGCACCATTTCACACACCTTCCTATCCGGGAAAAGAATTAGAAAAAAAATATAAAAAGATAACTCCAGGAACAAAAAACTATATGAAATTTTCTCTAGTCCCATAAAATGCAGTTACTTGAGTGGTAAATATACAGCAGATTGCTCTTCAATGTATCTCTTTCATCTTCCTTCAACCCTTCTGTTCCGGAGACCACTACAAAACTGCACTCATCTCCAAATGATCAAGTTCCATCAAAATCAAACTCCCACTATTGATGAAAAATTTTAAAAAACAAACACAGACACATTTATTTATACTAGTAAGGTGCACGTGCTTCGCACGTGAACCATATAATTTGTCTAACTGAATTTGCATGGTTTTATGTTGATTTGAGAAAAATATATTATTTATGATATACATTTTAAGTTAAATATAAGTATATATAAGTAAAAAAAATGCTAGAATCATACATATATACTAATTATGAGAAAGAAATTGTTAAGGGCGTAATTATATATGAGTTATAATCGGTCTTAATCGGTTATAATCGGTTGAGTTATTTCATATTCAATCATCTAACTCATAAGAAAACTCAACTTAACACTTCTACTTATTATAAATATAAACAATCATTCTCATACATCACATCAGTTTTTATTTACTATTCATCTACTAACATAATTTTAATCACCTATCATTTCCTATAATCTCTCTCCTACTTTTACAACACCTCAATTTTAATCATTATATTTTAGATATTATTTCATTCCAAACTCAAAATCATCCACTCTTTATACTTTATTCAAACTAACTCATTTTAACTAATTTTAGCCAAACAAAATTGATCAAAACTGGTTGGATTCATATCCAATCGTGCCTAAAAAGCTCAACAAATATCATTTTAATTGAAAATGATATAGTAATATGGATCTGGTAAAATTTGCCTAACAAGTTATTCTAATACTAATAGAACAATGTGTTATATATATTAGCATTTATATTTCAATTTTAATTTAAAATTTTTACCTATCGTCTTTAACTCGTTACTTATTTGTGTCTTTATTGAGAAATATGATTTAACAGTTGTCCACGTGGATACCTAAAAATAGAAATTAGAAATGTCATGTCATTCATACAAAATTTTAGATGAAATAAGTTTGATTAAATGTGAGTCTATCTGTCTCTCTTCAATTTACTTCTCGCGCATCATTTGTTTGCATCAATTAATACCAACCATTACCCTCAATTTTGTTTATTTCATATTAAATTTTGTGAAGTAAATTGTTGAATAATACACCAATTATTTTATATGGAAGGGATATATTAATGAAAAAAAAATACAAACTACAAACTACAAAAGGTATTCATAGTTTTAATACTACACCAACAATTTACATCTATATAAAAGGAATATCCAATTTCTGTATTGCTATATTTTTTGTAAGGAATTTTTCTACCCACAGTTTTTTTGGAGAAAATTAGAAAGTTTTTTTTTTCTTTTTTTTTTTAATTTGATATACAATTTAA